GATGAGCCAGGCAGAGGGCACACCGGGGACAAAGGCCCAGGGGTACGGAAATGAGCTTGGTGGGTTTGGAGCAAACAGGTTCCCAGGATGGCTAGAGAGAAGGATAGGGCGGTGGAGCAGATTGAGCGATGAGAATGAGGCACCCCGAGATGTGACCCAGCCTCCCTGCTCCCCCACAGATGGAGAAGGGGAACCTTCGAGTGAAGCAGCTGAAGCGGCAGGTGCAGGAGGCGGAGGAAGAGGCGTCCAGGGCTCAGGCGGACCGCAGAAGACTGCAGCGTGAGCTGGATGATGTCACAGAGACCGCCGAGTCCTTGAACCGCGAGGTGACCACCTTGAGGAACCGGCTCCGGTATGGCCACCCTGCACCTGCGCACCCTCACTCCATGAACCCCTGCCACCCCCTCTGTCTGTCCCCCATCTCCCTCTGTTCCTGTGTCCCTGTCTCCTTCATTCTCTGTCCCCTCATCTCTCTCTGCCCCTACCCGTGCCCTCTGCCCATCTCTCTCCGTGTCTCCCTGTCTCGTCTCTCCCCTCATCACCTCTCTCCACATCTCTCTCTCTCTCACTTTTCTCTCCACTCCCCTCATTTAATCTCTGTCCCTGGTCGCTCCTCCTCTCCACAGACGCGTCCCCCTTACCTTCACCACCCGCACCGTGCGCCAGGTCTTCCGACTGGAGGAGGGCGTGGCATCAGACGAGGAGACCGAGGAGGCAGAGCCGGGTTCTGGACCACAGCCCTCGGAGCCTGATGCGTCCCCAGAAGCACAGCCCCAGTGACCCCTCCCTGCTCCTGGCTGTCAGCCCCTCCCTCCCTGGCCCTGGCAGGTGCTGGTCCCAGGAACCCACCCTGTGGCTTCTTGCACTTTGGAAATGGCGCCACCTGCTGGCACCACAGCACTTACCAACCCCACCCCAGAGGGTCCCCCGAGACCTCCTGTAAACACTGAGAAGTCTGAGAGCAGGGAGGCAAGGACCGGGGCTCTCTCCCTGGAGTGCAAAGTCGGGTGTAGTTGGCATGCTGTGGCCTCATACAGCTCCCACCCTTCCTTCGGTGTAAACGGTTTTTACTAGGATGGGACTGTGGCCCCCCACCCCTCTTCAGCCAGGGCTGCCCATGGCCCTCCTCCTTGGCCCCCTCCCTCTCCCAGGACTCCACCGGCCTTTGATTCTTGCAGAGGGGCAGGATAAGGGGGCCTGTATTGCTCCCTCTTCCCATGCTCTGTCCTCCCTTCTGGTTGCTGATGTGTGATCACAGTGCAGTTGGAGTCCCTGGAGGAGCTGGAAGAGTCTCCCTAACCCTCCAGCCTCCAACTGTGGCAGAAATAAACTCCAGCCCCAACTGGACCCCACTGGAGTGGTGTGTGTTCCTGCAGGGGGGCATCTCTGATGGGTCCAGAAGGGCACTGGCTCTTTCCACCTGCCGGGGCTGCGGCGGGGGGGGGGCAGTCTGCTGGTTCTGATCACAGCTGTCCCTTGCCGGGCCACCGCCTGGGTACTGGACACTTCCCACACCCCAGCCTTCTCCCTCTGAGTTATTGCCTCCATGGTACAGACGAGGAGACCGAGGCTCAGAGCCGCGATGTCCCTCACTCCAAACCTCCCAGTCAGTGAGGGGCGGAAGGGGTGCTTGCTGTGCTCTGGCCTCTGACTGATTCTCACGTCTTTGCAAAACGGGCAGCAGTGACTTTGTTGAGTCTGCGACCATTTATTTAGCTGTGCTGAACGCGGGATGTTTGTCTCAATTCTCAGCACAACCGCTAGAGGCAAGGAGCGTACTGGTTTTCAGCACCCAGGACAGTTCCCGGCTCCCAGTTGGGTTTCACGTATTTGCTGGATGACTAATCACCCCGTCCTAGCCTTTTAAGAGTGGCAGAACAAACACGGAGAGGTTGAGAGGCTTGCCCAAGGACACACAGCTACCAAGAAGTTGAGCCCATGTAGATCGCTTCACAGTCAGCGATATGGAGTGCGCTGCCCTCAGCCCCTGAACACACGCGGGACCCACGTCCACTCCACCCCTGCGACTAGTCATGGTCACTCAGGAGCTCAGGCCACCAAGGTGCCCTTACACTTTCAGTTAGCGGTGTAGGAAGGCACTCATCCCAAATCACAAGATTAGAGCAGGTGATCAAGGGGATGTCTGGGTCCCCCAAATGCACACCTATGCCATTTTAATCTGACCTCTACTCTTGAAGACGCAACCCCTCTGTCTACCCCCCAAAGCTCCCCAGCCCTGACCGGAAGGCCTTCCCAGCACACAAACAGAACACAACTTTTAAATGAAAAGGAAACTTTAATTTTGGTGGGGAATGAGAGGGTGGGTGGAAGGGGGCATGACACTTTTTCTTTGGGGGGGTGACATGCGGCAGCTTCTGCATTGGGCGGTTCATGCACCCAGGGTGGGCGTGGGGGAGGCTTGGGGGAGGGGCCGTGCCGACCCCTCCCTCCCTGCCCTGGGGGTGGGCTGAGAAGACCCGCCGTTAGCACCAGAGTTGGACGATTTGCAGACCTCCCCTCCCCTCACTGACTCCGGACACCCGCCCCCATCCCTGAGAGCGCCCCCTTGTCACTCCCCCCCTACACGTGGGCAGGCCAGGCCCGCCCCACCCACATTTGAGTGAGAGAAACTTATTGCTGTGTGTGTTGGGGAGAGGGAGCCGCTGAGCTCAGGAAGCCCCCCGCCATTCACCCCTCCCCAGTCGCCCCGCCCCCGCCCCGTGCCCGTGCGTTCCCGGAGCGCAGGAGCGGCGCGCATGCGTGCGGGGAGCGCGTCATGCAGCGCATGCGTGTAGCTGCGGGCACCCTGGCGGCCGGGGGGGTGGGGGGAAAGGGGAGCGGGACTTCAAAGTTGTCCCTTTAGCTCGCTCTCTCTCCCTCCCCGAATCCCACACTGTTTATTGATTTGGGGGGGTGGGGGGTGAGAATCACGTGTTGTAGAGGCTTATAATGATCGTGGTTATTTTTTAAAAGCTGAACTAAAAAGCTGGGTACGTGTGGCAGATTGGCGAGCGGGGGGCGGGGAGACGTTGGGAAGAGGTCTGTACCCTTTGGAAAAGATCCTCACCCCCTTTCCCCGCACCGTTTGGCTTCCGTGAGGGTCTGGGGAATCCGGGGGAGGGGCTTTTTTAAGAAGTTAAACCCTTTGGCAATATAATCAGTCCCCACCCCCATACCCTGGTGTCTGGAGCCCCTAGCCCTTTGCCCCGCCCCGCTCCCCGCAGAACCTGCCCCACCCCTCACCCCTGATTCGCCAGGGTTTCGGGTCCGAGGGAAGGATGGGGGGGGGACTCAAAATGCCCCTTGCATAGGAATCGTTGCATCAAGAATCGTGCTCAGTGACCCCCTCCCCAACCCTCGGGTGGGGAATTGGGGCGGGGGGTTCCTGAGGCTGTGGGAGCAGAGGGAGGAAGGTTGTTAATTCTGTGGACCCCCAGCTCCAAAAGGGGGGTCCTCTAAGGATTCTGGGACCGGTGTGGTCCCCGGGCGTGGGGGAGGTAGCGCATCCTTGAGCCAGGATGGGATATGAGAAGTGATTTTCCACCCGCGGACGTGGCGGGGCGAGGAACGCCGGGGGACGGCGGGCTGGGGTGCCAGCCCGAGTGGGTAGGTTGTCCTTTCCTAAGCTCCTGGTGTTCTAGTGTCCGGCCATTCGGGCACCGTCTCTGCTTGAAATGGAGACACTTCTGACCTAAATAAACGGTGTTCTGGCCAAGCAGTAGTAGTATCTGGACTTACCGGCCTAAGTGCAAAGTGCCGTGAAAGACAAAACCTTCCCAGCGTTTGTCCTGGCACTGCCTAAAACCTCAGCGCATCAGCAGAGGCACGAACACGACCCTCTGGGAGACAGTGGTGTCCATGAGGAGGGTACCTTTGGGTACCATTTCAGGGAAGATGCTGTTGGGGGGCAGGGTTGGACATTAGAAAGGAGGTACCCTGGAAAGGTCAGGCTCCCCGGAATTGCAGACAGGTTGGGCCCATCTGGGAAATTCTAGCGGCAGGGGAACCTGAGGTGGATGCCTGATGCCAGAGATGTGGGGGTGTCTGGTGGTTCGAGGCCTGAGGATTTGGGGGTGTCCAGGAAGTGTCCGGGGCGGGGGAGGTTTTGGAGCATCCCAAAGGCTGAAAGTGAGCTGCAGAGCGCGGCCACCTCTTGGAGGACTGAGAGGTGCGGGATGCACTCCAGGGAGTGGGTGGCGGTGGGGCTTGGGGCGGGGTGGGGGGCAGCATCTGTGCGCAGAGGCTACGTTCCAGGGGTGTGTGGAGGTTTGGGGGATGCGGGGTGCCAGGGCCCGTGTCAGGAGTTCTGGGTGCAGGTCTCATGTCCCGGGAATCTGGAGGGAATGTTGGGGAGTTTTGTGTGCTGGGGCCGGACTGCCCCAGGAGTTCCAGCATGGGAGGTCTGAGTCCATGCAGCGAGACCCGAGGCGAGCGGATGGGGGGGAGGGGCGAGAGGGTGCCATTCACCAGAGGGATCCTCCCAAAGGCTGTGGGAGCAGTTGCCCACAGCGCCCTCCCCCCTACCATCTGAGCTCAGCTCCGGTTTTTGGCTTGGGTCACTGTTCCTCCTTCCCCCACGTTGTCGCTACTTATTTTTTAAAAATCAGTGAATGATGGGCTGCCCTCCGGGGGTGCAGGGCAGGAGGCCAGGAAACCCTCCTGTGGCTTAAAGGCCAGCCCCACCCCCTTGAGGTCTCCACCCCTTCCCAGAGTGCCCCTTCCCTCAACCGCTTGGCATGCAGCCCCCCGGCGCTTATTGCTGAGGTGGAATTGTGGGGGGAGGGGTCCAGGTTGAGGGAGGCATGCAGAGTAGGGGGGAGGTGCCCCAAATGTAATTGGCATAATTTGGACGTATTTACACGAGTTGATGGGAGGGGGTGTCCTATGGCTCATGGAGACCTGAGAAGGCTTTATTTGGGGGGTGGGGCAGAGTTGAGGGGCATGGGCTTTGGTCCCTCCCCTCCATCCTGGGGCCCAGGGCGGGGTGAGGGGCCCGGGGGTGTCTGCTGGCGTGGTCGTCTCCGTTGCATATTATTAATGACTTTTTGATTTTTAAAAAAACCCTTTTCCCCAGCCCCCCACCCCCAGCTCCTTTGACCTTCTTCCCTGTCACCCCCGAGTCCCCCCACGGGGGGGAGGGGAGCGCTAGAGGATGGAGGGCAGGGTTGGGGGAGCGCGGCGGGCAGCCCTGGGAGAGCCAGGGGGAGTGGCAAGGGGCGCGAGGCGCAGAGACACCCCGCTCAGGCCCGCGATGCTGCTCAGGCTGCGGGATTTCTCGTAACCTGGGGGGAGGGGCGGAAACACGGGGAGGAAGCATGGAGCAGGGGGGCATGGGGAGGTCCCATAGACAGAGAGACCCCAAGACAGAGGGAGGGAGGCAGGAGAGAAACGGACAGGAACAGCAGATGGAGAAAAACACAGGAGAGCAATAAGAGACGGCGAGAGAGACACCAAGACACAGAAAGACAGAGGGAGGGAGGCAGAGAGATGGACAGAGGCGGACCAAGGAGATGGAGAGAGAGAGAAGTGAACAAATTGGACAGTCAGTCGCATCACGTAGAAAGGTCCAGACATGGGGAGGGGGGAGAGACTCAGGGTTAGGAGGCAGGGTGGCACCCACCGAGCCTCCCCCACCCCATCCCCACGCAACCCGGCCCCCTCCCCTCCCGGCATTGGCCCCCTCATCTGAGGCAAAAAGGAGTGGGGGCAGCAAGGCGGATGGTGGCAGCAGGGGCATTGGCGTGAGCTCAGGTGGGAGGCATGTAGGGGAGCAGCGTGGGGAGGATTTGGGAGGGGGCTGGCAGGTCTGCCGGGGTGGGGGGCTCACCTAGATGTTGAGAGAGGGGGCGCTGTGAGGGGCTGAAGGATGGAGCCGAAGCCCGCAGGGCCCCTGGGGCAGAGAGTAGCTCGGAGGGCAGCCTGAGAGTGGAGGCTCACCTGAAGGTCACGTGGGGCCTCTTTCAGGGGCCAGGGAGCCTCAGTGGGAGCCTTCTGATGGGGAGGTTCTAACCGTGTCTGGACAGCCACAGGGATCTAAGATCCGGGCGCAATGAGTGGTTTCTGTGGAAGCTTATCAGTGTCTTAACAGTTCTGCCAGTGTCGGGTGCTTTTCTAAGCGGAGTCAGGGGGTCTGTCTGGACAATGGTGTTTTGGCCATAGGAGAGCGAGCCTGAGGGGTTGGAAGCCCACTACCTTGGGGACACCCCTTCCCAGCCATTTCCCATTGCTAACCTGGGGGGAAGGGGCAGGGGGGGACCGAGGGTCTCGCGAGGCCTCAGGCGGTGACAAGAGCTGGGGACAGAAATACACAGAGTCATGGCGGGGGGCGGGGGCGGTCATGGGGGACCCCCCCAACACAGCTTCACTGTTGGGGGTCGGAGAAACGCCGGATCTCTTCCTCCTCTCTGGTGTTTTCCGGGGAAGGGGAGCAGTGAAATGGGGGGCCGCCAGAGACATCAAATATGGAAGGAGCTTCCGGGGTGGCTGGGGTTCCAGGGGAGGAGGGAGGAAGGGAGGAGGGGGGCAAGGGAGGAGGGGGAAGGCTGGGGAGGAAGGGGGAACACGTGTCAGGTGTTAGGCTCAGGTGGCTGGTGAGGGCACATGGAGAAGAAGGGACAGGTCATGGGGCAGGGGGAGGACCAGCCAGGAGGAAGGGTCTTGGGGGGGAGGGGGAGGGCAGTATTGGAGGGTGGGTCGTGGAGGAAGGAGAGGAAGGGGCGAGTGAGGAAGGAGGGGTCCAGGATTCAGTCAGCCCCATCAGCTCCAGCCATTATTTGAGTTCAATGAATGGATTTTGGCATCAGAGGCGAGAAAAGCAGAGACCTCCCACCCCACCTCCAGCCCTCCCTCCCCCGCATCCCCAAATCCTCCCCACTCCCTGTGCCCCTCAATTCCAAGGGGCCCATCCAGACCTGGGGGTGGGGGGACAAAGGGCGGGAACAGGACTGGGTGCAAGCAGGGGCAGGGCCGAGATGGGAGTCGGGAGAGGCCGGTGATGAGATGGAAATGGAAGATGGTGTGGGGGGGTGGCTGCAGAAAGGAGAGGCAGAGGGACGAAAGAGCCACACAGTCCCCTCTGGTCCCCACGCCCTCTGCTGCATGACCTGGGGCAGTCATGGGCCTCCTTGAACTTCTGTGAAACAAGGGCGCTTAGGCAAGGCCGTCTCTGGAGCCTCCCCAAGTCCCCCTACAGCCCCTCCTTAGGCTGCAGGCAGGGATTGAGGATGTATCTGTGTTTCTAAGGAAGATTCCACAGTGAGTAAGTGATGGGTTGCATTCCTTCAGGGGGCTCTTCATTGCTTTTAAAGTCAATCCAGCCTCTCCCCGTGGCCAAAACTGCCCTCTCGATCCTTCCACACGGCCGGTCTGGCACCCCTCTCCCTTTGGCTGCCCATCTGTGGCGTCACTTCTCTCCTTGCTATTTCTTTCAAAAACCAAGCTCATCCCACCCCGGACCTCAGGACCTCGGCACTTGCTGCTCCTTCTGGCTGGCTGGCCCCCTCTGCCTTTCAGGTTTCAGTTGCCTCAGAAAGCTCCTCCACAGACCTTCTGATCTGAAGTGGCAAGAGGTTTGTTTTTTGTTGTTGTTGTTTTTTAACTTGTTTATTTTCTGCTTCCTCCACTCAGGGAGTATCCAGCTTTTCCTGTAAAGGGCCTGTCAGTTTGGACTCTGTGGGCCTCACGGCTTCTGTCACAACTATTCTATTCTACTGTCCCAGTAAAGCTTCATGTACGAGACAGCTAGCTGACCGAGCTGGCCCATGGGCTGGACGGTGCCAACCCACGGCCTGGAGCACAAACTCCGTGATGGCAGATTCTGGCTGTGTGCAATGCCAAACCTCCAGCGCCTGGAACTGTGCCCTCGATCATTAGTTGCTGAACAGATGGATGGGTGGATGGATGGATGGAGAAATGGAGCTAGGGGTCAGCTAGGGACGTTGTGGGGGTTACAGAAGATACGTTAATTTCTGGCATGCACTAAGTGCTTGGTTATGTTTGCTGAATGACTCACTGACAGCTCTCTCTTCCCTCTGTCCCCTGACCTCCCCACGGCCAGTGCTTGGCTCTCTCCTTCCTGTTCCAACTCTCTCTCTGCCTCCTTCCTCTCCATCCCCACAGCCCAGGGATGACCTGGGCTCAGACTTGTCCTCTCCCCTGGACCCTCGTCCCTGTCTCCTCCTCCAGTCCATCCCCGAGGGCCCGGAGCTGACCCCCTCTCCCGGGACAAGGCCCCAGCCCTCGGCCCCACCCTGCTTTCCTGCCTCATGGTTCTACGCCAGCCCCCGGTCTCCCGGCTTTGCTCACACTTGTCACTCTGTCACTACTGTCACCTGGGATCACTTCCTCGCCAGCAGTGGGGATAACCCTGTCAATCTCGATTCCTCCAGAAAGTCTTTCCTGTGGTTTCCTCCTACCCTGGGGGTGTTCCTCTTACTGTATGACCCCATGTCACCTCCACATCTTCATATGTCGCCTCAAGGAGTGACTTTCTCTTTCTGTGTCTGCCTCTCCCAACAAACAGAGAGCATGAGTTCCGGGCGGGGAGCCTGTGGGTGCTTTATAAACTGGTCTGCTCACAGGTGACTGAAAGGGAGGCTGAGTCTTTTTCATCCCATTATGCACCCCGAAGAGTGTCCTGGGTGTGCACCCCATTTTCTGGGTTGAATTTTTAAAAAAACAAAAGGGGGGGTGCAGGGAGAGAGATGTCGATGGGGGTGAGGATGGGGGTCAGTCACGAGGGCAGGGAGGGAGGTCAGGCATGTGGTGGGGAGGGTCGGGGTTAGTTTTGGGGGGTCAGTGAGGGGCAGGGCAAGTCCTGGGCAGGTGGGTGCAGGGTCAGTGTCGGGAGTGAAGGTTAATTGAATGGAGCTCTTCATGGTGAAGGGGGGGGGTCTCGGTCAGTGGGAGCTGCTCGTTCTCAGAGGGGTTAGTCAGGAGGAAGGGGTTCAGAGGGTGGGGGCTACTTACCCCGGGGGGGAGGGGGTTCGTCCACTAGGGGGATATCCAGGCTGCAGCGTTGGCGTTGAGGTCGGGCAAGAAGCTGGGGGGGCCTGGCTTACGCCAGTCTGGGGGGAGCAGTGGGGGAGCACCGGTGGCTGGGGGTGGGGGAAGAGGCCAGAGGGTCAGGGTGGGGGAAATGGAGATGGAATAAAGACAGGTGAAGGGTCAGTGGTGAGGAAACCTGGGGTTGGAGGGGCTCTGGGAGGGAGGAGGTTGGGGGACGGGATGGCAGAAGTCCAGCACCTCCTCCCCCTTCTCCCTCTCCCTCCTCCCCCAGGGGAGGAGGGAGAGAGAGAGGGTCCCAGGGGTCCGGGGGGGGGGGCACCTCACCTTTCCGGATGGAGCCGTCAGGGGAGGGAGCATAGTCAGTGAGGAGGAAGCAGGCTCGGTCCCGGCTGTAGCGGCCCCGGCTCCCGGGGGTGATGGGGCTCTTGTCTTCCGGGGACATGGCGGGCTGGTCGATGGCCGGGCAGTCCTCATGCGCGAGTGCGGCTGCTGCTGGGTCCCCGTTGGGACGGGGATCTGCGTCCCCGGGGGTCAGACAGAGACACAAAGAGTGAGGCGTGGAAACTCACAGTGGGGACAACACTACCCAGGAGAAGGTGTCGGCAGACTTGAGGGCCGCAAATAGGTGACTAAAGGGCAGGGTGCAGATGGAGGTGGCAGGAGGGCCCATTTGGCAGCAGGGTGTCAGGAGCATGGCTGATGGGCTTGGGGAGTGGGCCACTGGGGGAAGGGTGTTGAGAGTTGGGGAGGACAGTGGGGTGGGGAAGGGTGGACAGGGGACAGCACTGGACGAAGGTGGGTAGAGGGAGGGCATTGAGTGCTAAGGAGAGGTAGTCAGGCTGGGTGCTGGGAAGGGCAGGACGTGGAGCATTTGGCACCCATCAGAGGGGGACACGGGGAAGAGGTGGTTGGCACGCAAGTTGGGTGGGCAGAGCAGGTTGGGACTGGGTGTTGAGTTGGTAGGGTGTTGGGATGGTGCACATGCTGGTGGGAACGTCAGGGGCTGGGAGGTGCTTGTTTAGGGAGGGGTGCCGGGTGCTGGTAAGGACACAGTGAGGAAGGGTTAGAAGGTGACAGATGAGGGAGGGGGAAGTGGGGGTCCCCCAGGCTCTGACTCGAGCTATTTTTAATTGGTGTGAAACTGGGTCAGCGGCTGAGGGAGCAAGCCAGGGGGGCCAGGCGGCCCAGCTCCCTTTCTTGACCTACTTAAGACATGGGGGTGGGGCCCACCGGCCTGTCCCTCCTCCACAACTAACACCCCAATCTCCGCCTCTGAGGCACAGAGTCCCCTGGGGGGAGGGACTTGCAAGGCACAGCCAACTCTTCTCCCAACTCGCTGGTTCCACCTCTCCCTCTTTGCAACGCCTCTCTGAGCTTCTCGGACCCCTCTCAGCAGAGCCAGAGACTGGGCCCTGGGTTCCGAGCCACTGTCCCGTCACAGGGCCTTGCCACCCGCTGGGCCTGTCTCCCCTGGCCACTCTCTGACTCTTAGTTTTTAGTCTTAAGTCTCATTTCCTCTCTTGGTTTCACTGTTTGAATAAACCTGAACCCTGGCCACGGACCGCCCCAGCCCTCCCTCCTCCTCGGTCCTCTCTCTTTTCTCTCTCCCCTCTCACTGACAGTCTCTAGGTTTCAGACTCTGTGGCCTTTAGACTTTTTTCAGGGTGTTCTCCAGGAAGCTCAGGCACTACAACCATCTCTTGGCCTCTTGTCTCCAGCCAGCCCGTGATTTGCATGTGAGACCCTCTCCCCATGTGTCTCTCCCGGGTCCCCCTGAATACGTCAGTTGCAAATCTGTCTCTCTCCAAAACTCTGTCACACAAAATATCCATCTCTGCCCTTGTCCATTTCTGTGCCCCTTCTCTGGCCTCAGCAACTGCCATTCCCTCTTCTCTCCCCTCTCTGCTGCTGGCCACCCTATCTCTGCACCCTCCTCCTGCCCCCCTCGAAACCTCCCCACCTTCTCCCATGCATCTCTGCCTGTGCCCCCCTCCACCCCATACACCCCTCAGGCCCCCTCCTCACCTGCTCGGTTGATCTCAATTACTTCCTCCTGAGCCAATGGGCAAGGCTCCCCAGGGGCTGGCAGAGGGGGCAGCCCCATGATCCCGAGCCCACCCGCTCCCCCCCTGAGCAGCCCGGGGTGCGTGTGGGGCCCCGGTGGGTAGGCCCCAGCCATAGTCACCCCCATGGAGGGCGGGGTGATGGGTGGCGGGGGGCTGATACCACCACTGCCATGGTGAGGGTGGGGTGGGGGCGGTGGGGGCGGGTCGGGCTTGCAGTAGTTGGGTGAGCCGGGCTGCGGGGGCCGGGGGATGTGTTTATTCTTCTTCTTGGGCAGCTTCTGCTTGGCCATGGCCAGCGAATAGTACATGCCAAAGTTGTTGACGATGACAGGCACGGGCATGGCGATGGTGAGCACCCCGGCCAGGGCACACAGCGCCCCGACCAGCATCCCCGACCACGTCTTGGGGTACATGTCTCCGTAGCCCAGGGTGGTCATGGTGACCACGGCCCACCAGAAGCCGATGGGGATGTTCTTGAAGTAGGTGTGGTTGGAGCCCAGAATGTCATCCGGGTCAGCGCCGATGCGCTCGGCATAGTAGATCATGGTGGCGAAGATGAGCACACCCAGCGCCAGGAAGATGATGAGCAGCAGGAACTCGTTGGTGCTGGCACGGAGCGTGTGGCCCAGCACACGCAGCCCCACGAAGTGGCGCGTGAGCTTGAAGATGCGCAGGATGCGCACAAAACGGACGACCCGCAGGAAGCCCAGCACGTCCTTGGCGGCCTTGGAGCTGAGGCCAGAGAGGCCCACCTCGAGATAGAAGGGCAGGATGGCCACACAGTCAATGATGTTGAGGCTGCTCTTGAGAAACTCCACCTTGTCTGGGCAGAAGGTGATGCGCATGAGGAACTCAAAGGTGAACCAGACCACGCACACACCCTCCACGTAAGTCAGGAAGGGCTCCGTCTCCACCTCCACATTGGTGATGTTCTCCGGCGGGGCCCCGGGGATCGGGGAGGCCTGCGTCACCGTCTTGTTGCTGATGTGGATGAAGCCCTCGTGGGTCTCCAGGCAGAAGGTGGTGATGGAGATGAGGATGAAGAAGAGGGAGGCGAAGGCCACATACTGCGGGACAGGGCAGGAGAGAAGGCAAAAGGTGACCCGGGCGTCTGGTCCACTAGCCGTCTCCACAAGACCCTCCCAGTGGCTCCCTTCCTAGCCCCAACACTTCCCTCTGCTCCTCTCCCCACTAAGACTAGTGAAAGGGAAGGTAGAGGATTAGCTCTGGAGAGGAGCTGGCCCCAGGGGCCAGAGCACATGGGCAATTTACGTCCTGGAAACAGTGATTTCTGGCCCCATGCTCTGTCTCCTAGACCGCCTCCCCTCACTCTCCTGTTCCCTGTGCCCTATCCCTGGGCTCTGCGAGGGGACCCAGGTGTAGGAGGGGAGACTTAAGATCACACATCCTGTGTCTCAGAGGGTTTGGGGGTGGACCTGGAGCTGAGGGAAGGGGAAGGTGAGAAGGTGGGTGGGGAGGCAGAATCACAAGATGGCTAACAGTAAAATCTTGGGTTTGATTCCAGCATTTCCCCTGCCTAACTTGGGCAAGGTGGTTAAGCCTTCCAAACCTCAAGTGTTTACAGGATTATTGTGAGGATTACATTAGTAAGTAGACAAAGGTACTGGCTGAAAAAAAAAAAACAACACAAAACAGTGCTTGGTCCAGTGTCTGGAGCTTAGTAATGTTTGAGCTCTTATGAGGGTATGGAGGCATCTTTTTTTGTTTTTTTTGTTTGTTTGTTTGTTTTTTTGGGGGGGCGGGCAAGGCCAAGGCCTCAGAAAGGAGTCAGGGTTTCCTTGGGCCCTCACCCAGAGAGGACAGGGCAGGGCAGGGGTGGAAGAACATAGGGGAGGAGGGGTGTTCGGGCCCTTAAGCGGGGAGAAGTGTCAAGTCTGCCAAAAGAAAGGGGGGTACATATGAGGAGAGGTGGGGTTTAAGGCTCTCAGAAGGAATGGAGGGTCAGGGGGCCTAGACCTGGGAGAGAGCACAGGACTTAGGGCCAAAGTAGATGAAGGGACTTTTCAGAGGTGCAGAGAATTGGGGGTAGGGGCGTGCTTGGTCATCTCAGGATGGGGGATGACCAGAGTCCTGCCAAACTGTGTTGTGGGTTTTGATGAAGGCTTTGATGAGGAAGGGAGGGAGTGGAGTCAAGATCTGGGAGAACTGGGTGGATCAGGCCCCTCGAGATGCTAGTGGGCTTTATCGAATACACCGGGTGAAAGAGTGAGGTTAGTCCTTGGATAGGGAAGGGAATCAATGTTGGGGCAAAGAGGGGGCTTCCATAAGATGGGTAGAGGAGAGGAGGTGGAGGGTTCTGGGTTGCAGAGAAGAGAGGGGGGCCAGGTCGGGCTGCAGAGAGGACCCTAAACCTTGGGGAGGGTTGGGGGTCAGCGTGGGCCCTTCCTGCCCCGCCCCCCTCTTCATTTCTCCGCAGTGGTTTAAGAGGCCAGAGGCCGCCGCAGAGCGCATGCCTAGAGCTCCCCCGCGCCTGCTCCTAGCCCAGCGCGCGGCTCAGGATGCGGCACCGCAGTGGGGGCGGGCGGCCCGGGCCGGGGGGCGGGGCGCGCGGCGGCCAGCACCGCGGACAGTTCCCCCCACCGCAGTGCGCAGCCGCAGAGGCTGGGAGCCGTCTTAACCCCATCGGAGCTGCAACCAAGCTGGCCACGCGCAGCCGCAGTGCCGCCGCTTCACCGCGGGAGGCCGCCGGCCGGGGAGCTGTATTAACTCCTTCCCTCCCGAGACATAGAAAGGAAGGTGGGCTTCGCCGCAGTGCGCAGCTGTAGAGGCTGGACAGCGTCGGGACTGGTTTAACCCGTGGTCCCGAGAAGGCTCAAAAGCAGAAGGGTTAGGAGGGCATAAAGTCCCTGTAGGAAGGAAAGGAGAGATTACGAGGAAAGGGAGGAGGGGGAGGTAGGGCTGGACCCTCCACTTTTCATTGGTTTCAGCTCCCAACTCTGCCAAGCTATCTCACTTGAGGCTGGAAAGTGAATGGCATGTCATGGACACTCAAAAATATTTGTGGAGTCAACGAGTGACCCCTGTAGCTGTCCCGGACATCTAGCCTCACCTCGGCACCCTTAAATGGGGTCGCAAGAAAGAAGGGCACCCTAGACCATAGGGGGAAGGGGCCACCTAAAAGCCCGACGGGGCATGTAGGGCCACGTCCCTTCTGTACCTCGTCCTCCCCACCTCCCCTCACCCAACCCCAAATCTCGCCAACTCAGCGCTTCCCCGGGACCAAACTTTATGCGGAGCCTCCGGGCCCCCCTCCCCGTAGTTCCCTCCCCCAGCATGAATGCGGCACTGCGGCTCCGCGTCCTTCCCGGCTCAGGACGCGGCACCCTGGGGGGAGGGGGGCGGACTAGCTCCTCAGGGTGTTTAGGTCCCCAGGAAGCTAGGAGGGGTCCCTGGAGTCTCTCTTTCCCTCTTTCTAATTCCCCCCCATTTTGAACTGCCCTCCTCTCTTCCAACAAGGGGAAGAAGTTAGGAGGAGGGAGAGGTTCCAGGGAGAAGGAGGGGGAAGGGTAGCTATTTCGCTTGGGAAGTTACAAATGTTTGAAGTTATAAAAGTTTGTGGGGAGGAAGATGGAGGGAGCTGGGGAAGATCTGGAATTCAAGGGAGATAAGGGTGGAGTGTGTGTTCTCTCTGGTTCACCTTGGAGTGCAGGGAGAAGCGGAGGGGCTCACTCCAGGGCTTCGGACTGGAGGGAAGGAGTAAAAAAAGGGGGAGCAAGCAGGCCTGGGGCAGGTGGAAAGATACCAAGGCAGGGCAGAAAGAACTGGGAGCTGTTTTGGGGCTGATAACTTGAGGGTGGTCCCGAGGATTAAGGTTAAGTAAACTTCTGGACCAGAGGAAAAGTCATTCATCCACTAGGGAAGGGGCTGCGGGCCGGGGATGGAGGGTGTCCCAGAGGGAGGGAGTGGGCTGTGCAGCTTAAACGATGGAAGGAAGGAGCTGGGAGAATGTATGGGTGAGGAGGACGCAATTCTGGAAAGCTCATGGGAGGTTCTGAAGAGGAAAGGCATATTACTGGGGGCTCAGGAGTCACGGAGGAGTGTGAAAGCCTATGGGGAAGTCTGGAGCTTTATGGGGAAAGTCCTTGGGATGGGAGCTGGTGTGGAGGATGCATGAAGGGACTTGATGAACACAGAGAGGTGCAGAGGGTCCCAGGAGGAAAGATGTCCTCAGACTTATCATTGCAGTGAAGGGAGGAGGAAGTATCTTAGCCAGAGCAAGTGGTCTGGACATTCAGAGGGGTTCAGGATGCGTTGAAATTAGGGTGGGGAGTCTTCTGAGACTTTGGCAGAAGAATCAGGTGGGGAGGGTATTAAAAAAATAGTCAGGAGACTCAAACTTGGAGGGTGGGGTGAGGGAGAGGGGCAAAGACAAAAGGAATCAGGGAGGTGTTGGGAGAACTGGGGAACCGAAGGCTGCAGATGGGGCTTAGAGCAGGGGTCTGCAGGGGGCAGGGAAAGGGAGGCAGTTTTCACAGGACTTGGGATACTTTGAGGTTTAGGAAAGGATGTCTTCTGAGGGCCTGGGGCTGGTCCAAGAAACTGAGGGCTAAGGAAGGGGTCTTCAAGGAATCCAAGGGGTGGCCAAGAGAAGTGAGGAGTTTAGAGGGGTTTCTGATGGCTGAGGGTTGCAGAAAGGTCTTCTGAGAGTGCCAGAGGGGTCCAGGAACGGTGGGGAGAGGTTGTTCAGAGGAGCCCTGGAGCAAGTTTCTAAGGGTCTAGGGTGACCTAGAGAGGCAGGGTGGTGTTCAAAGGGATCTGGGCGATTCTGAAGGTTGGAGAACCATCCTCTGAGGATCTGAGGATGGCCGGGAGAGGAGGGTGTGTTCCGAAGTGTGCGGGGAAACTCAGGGTTGGGGTTAAAGGCTTCTAAGAGACTGGGAGGCTGAGAGAGGGAGGGAGGGGCTGGGATCGGCCATAGGATTCTGAGGGTCTGGGAGTGCATGGGGAGAGGAGAGGGATGGGGACTCCGACAGCACGCTCACCCTAGCTGCCCGCGACGAGTAGGGGTCTTCGAAGAGCGCCCACACTCGAGGCTGCCAGCGGCGCCACCACGTGCCGCCCGCGCCGCCCGCGCCCCCTGGCGGCCCCCCGGCACCGCCGCCCGCGTCCTGGAAGCAGAGGCGCTTGAGCTCGCCGCCTGCGCCGTCCAGGCCACCGCCGCCCGCGCCCGCCTCGTCGTCCAGGCCCGCGTCGTGGGCGCCCCCGGCGTTGGCAGCGTTGGCGGCGCCCGAAGAGTCGGGCGCCTCGAAGGAGTCGAGTGCTTCCTCAGCATCGCGGTGCTGTCGGTAGGTCATCCAGCAGCAGGCTTCCACGTCGGTCTCGTCGATGCCCCAGAAGCCGAGCTCCTCCTCGAAGAGCGGCCCGCACACGTCGGCCGGGCAGTGCAGCTTGCCCGTGCGGTAGTAGTTGAGCACGTAGGCGAAGACGCCCGGGTGCCGGTCGAAGAAGAACTCGTCAGTGCCGGGGTCGTAATCGAAGCGCGCCGCCGCCTCAGGCTCCGTCAGACCGGCCAGACGCGTACCCGGCAGGGTGCGCAGCGTCGAGCGGTACGTCTCATGGCGCACGCCGCCCACGTTGATCACGATCTTGCCGCTGTCGCCACCGCCGCCGCCGTGCCTCCCCATGGCCGCCGCCGGCAGCCCGGGGCATGGCTCGGCGCGCCGGTCCCCGGGCCCGTGGGATGCCGGGGGGCCCGCCGGGGACGCGGCAGGGCCGGGCTGCGCAGGCTGCTGCTGCTGCTGCAGCGGCGGCGCTGGCGGCGGCGGGGTGTCGGGAGGCTGCGGCGGCGGTGCAGGCTGCTGCTTGCTGGCCCCCTGGCGCCGGCGGAAGGAGGAGACGCAGACTGAGCTCAACATTGGCCGGGGGGGCGGGGCTGTAGGGGCGGGGCCTTGAGGGCGGGGCCTCAGGGGAGAGACAAACGGGATTGGGTGGGAAAGGCAATAAATATGAGGGCGGAGCCTAAATTGGCGGCTAACCGAAGTGATTGGTCTAAGGGATAGTGGGGCGGAGTTGAAGCAGAGAGAGAAGGGCGGGGACTCTAACCGGGCCAAGCGTAGTGGGGTGGGGCAGCAGATAAAACACAACGATTGGATCTTTCCGAGAGCAGGGGCTGGGCGAGGTGTTGCAGGAGGTGGGACGCACCTCTAAAGTTGGCTGGGTTGGCAGCACAGAAAACTGAAGAAGCGGGGTTAGATATAAGAAAGATCGATTAAAATGAAAAAAGGATGGGGCGGGGCAGAGAAAAGGGACCGTCCAAGCTATTTAAAGAAGCAGGCTCGGCCGTGAAGGGCGAAGTGAGGGGGCGGGGCCACAATGGTGGAGACTCCTCTGGGTGGAAAGAGAAAAATCGCGGGCCCAGACTTAAAGAGCGGATAAGCAGAACCTGGTGGGGAAGGGCATCTGGAGACTGCGGGGTTGGGCTCCGAACATTGTTCGGACGGGGAAAGACGGATCTTACAAGGAGGCGGGGTCGAGAAAAGTAGTAGAAACTTTTTGATTGGCCCGGCACAGTGAGGGGGCGGGACTAAATGAGTGTGGGAGCTGGAAGTGGAGAGTGGAGAGTATGGTCACGCAAAATGGTGTTAGGCTGCTGAAAGGGCACAGGGCAAAGGTTACATGGACTGAGACCCAGTGAGAAGGGGAGGAGATGAGCGAGGCCTGAGAACCTGAGAGCGCCTGGCTAGGAATATTGGTCGGGACGAGGTAAAGAAAGGATGGGGCCGGGGCTTCACGCTTGGCCTGATTAGACGGGGCTCTACCGTGGTAATTAATGTCAGGATGGATGGGGCGGGACTAAGGAAGGTGGGTGGGGCCTACGAATGATAGTAAAAGTCTAGAATGGGTTGTGGGATGGCAAGATTAAGGGAGGGTCGAGGCACTAAGGGGCTTGAAAGCAGTCTGGCTAGGTTGGGGCAGTGTAGGCCTAAGAGAGGGTAAGGAACGGGAGATGGGGATGCATAAGGGACCTGTAAAGAGTACAAAGCTGCCAGGCTGGATGGGGCGGGAGGGGAGACCTGGAACGAAGAGTCTTGGGAATTAGAGAACCTGGGACGGAGTCCTAAGAGTCGGTGGGGACTTAGAGGCTGGGGCAAGAACTTCCAACTGGTGAGGGAAAGGGGACTAGGTCCAGATAACGGCCGACTGCAGACAGAAGATTCAAAGGATGGATGAGGACTGATGAAGAAGGAATCCTATGAAAGGAAAAGGGGAGAAACCAAAGCGCTTCCGGAAGCACAGCCTGAGGCTGAGGCAATGGGCGGGGCCAATGGGAAACAGGGCGGGGTAAGGTGACAGAGTCCTGGTGGCAGAGAGGGGAAGTGGAGAGTGGGGCGGGACTAGTGGGGGGGCGGGGCCAGAGCTAGGCTCACTGCCCAAAAGCGGACCCGGGCCCGCCCCCTGGGCTGGCCTAGGGGCTGGGTAGCAGGGCGCAGGCGCTGGGGCTGGGGCGGGGCCAGCGGCTGCGGCTGGGGCTGCGGCGGGAGGAGGTAGTGCCTGTGGGAGCGGAGGGGGCGGGTCAGGGTTGCCGGCTTTCTTTCGCTGCTCGGTCCCTGGCCCGCCGCCTCCCTCTGCAGGGCGGCGTGTGGTTCGTATTGCCTCCCCACCCACCCCTGCTCCCGTTTCTGCGTCTCTTTTTATTTCCTTTCTCTGACAATTTGTCCTCCCATCTCTGCCCTCACCCCTCTGAGACCCTGGCCTCTCTTTTCTAAGTCTTCCTTTCTCTGGATCACTGTCCCATTGTTCTCTGAATCTGTTTCCCTTCTTGAGTCTTTGCCTCCCTTCCAAGGCTCTGTAGCCTCTCCCACCACCGTGTCTCGATGTCTCGATACTGCCACCCCCAGTCTCTTTCTCTTGGTCTTTGTACCTTTTCCTCAGGGATTTGCCTTCCTCTCTGGACCTCTGTCCCCCTCTCCCTAGGTCTCTGTCCCTCCTCCTTGTGTCTGTCCCACACTGCCCGCCTCCCTGGCTTTGTTCTCCCACTCTCTGGATCTCCGCTCATTCATCTGGGTCTGTTCCCCTCACTCTTGTTATATGACCTCCCTCCCTGCATCTTTTCCCCCTTTTCTGTCTCTCTGCCTCCCCCACACTGCCTTTTTTCTTTCTGCGCTTTTTCTGTCGGTCCCCTCCACGGGTCCCTATCCCTCCCCTTTTGAGTCTGTGCTTCCCCTCTCTCTGGGTTTCCGCTAGCACTTCTTTGGGACTCTGTCCCGCTGTCCTTCAGTCTCTGCCCCTGTCTCTGGATCGATGGATCTCTGTCCCTTTCTCTCAGGCTCTACCCTCCCCCCACCCCCATTATCCCTTCTAACCCCCATCCTGGCCAGGGCTCCAGGCTGCGTCACTGCAGAGCTGTCCTGCAGACCAGAGAGGTAGTTTCCATCACCCCTCAGACTCGGGGCTCCCCAGTGTCCCCGATCCAGGATCCTCCAGTAGTCCTCAAGCCCCCAATAGGACCCAGGAGGACAGACATCGGGGCTTTCGACTCCTCTCTGTCCCGAATTTTGGTGTATCCCCAGGCAAAAGCAGTGAATTCTGAGGTGAGGGCTTGGGTTGAATGAAGTTCTAGGCAAGTCAGGGGTGGAGGTGGAGGCTGGAGCAGGGATTGGGTAGGTTAGTAGTAGGGGCCAGGGTAAGGACCTTAGTCAGCCATCCAGGATTATCCTCCCCATCTGCCCTCGACCCCCACAACCCTACTTTTCTGCTTTTGGCAGCAGCCAGGCACAGGATCAAGTTACCAAATCAGCGTTTTAGCAAAGGTCGGGTGTGGGAGAAAGTGCCGGCTGGGTGGGGGTGGGGGGCTGGATAGGGGAGAGTATGGAGTGAGACCCTGGATTAGGGACCATGGGAGGCGGAAGGAGGTGGCAGCAAGGAGCAATAGGATGGTCCAGACTCCATCAGACCCTGGGAAACTGGATACCATCACTCCTTTATGGCTGTCCCCAGGTCCCACCAGGATATGTGGAGGACTTGTGGGCCTGGGTTCTCCACTCATGCAGAGGCGGGTGGGTGGGGGGCTTCTGGAGACAAAATGAGGGCTCTGGTTATGGGACACCCAGCCCCGCAGACAGACCAAAGCAAGTGGACTCGATTTTTAGCGACTGATACCAGGAACGGGGAGGCCAATGTCCACGTCTTTAGATCATTTGCTTATCCCTCCTCCTTCCCAATCTATCCTTTCCCAGGTCCTCAAGGCACAACATTCCTGAAAGCTCCTAACTCCCACCTCTGCCATCCCCAGTGCCCCCTCCCTAAATCTCCCCCATTCCCCAAGGCCCTGGAATTGGGAGTCTTTCCCTTCCTGACTTCTAGCATCTTGTTCCTCCGCCCCATATCTATCAGTTCCAAATCCAGGAAAGAGGTCTCCCGGACACTAAAGCTGAAAATGTGAGGACTTTGCCCATGAGGTTGGTCCCCGAGATCCTCCAAACACCTTGGCCTGTTCTTGAGGGGGAAATCTCTCCACTGTAATCTTTGAGTCCCCGTCTCCCGAGTCCCCCGCCTCCACTACTGGGATTTGGACTGTCTTTCCGCCCCGGTTCCCTGAGCCTTCTACGCTCCCCTGTACTCACCCCTAGTCGAAGCGGGGCGGGGATGGGGGAATCCCGGGCTGGCGATGGGGGGAGGGGTGACCCAGCTCTGGGCTGCAAAAGGCTGTGGAGGGGTGAGTGACATCATCACCGGAGGAGGGGCAGCACAGTTCCCCCCAACTCGGGGGCTTCAAGCCCCGCCTTTATGGCGGACCCAGGGGTCCCGGAACCCAAGAGGAGAATGGAGGAACAGGAGATGAAGTCTGCGGGAATGATATCACCTCCCCTTAGAACGAGAGTCGGAAAACCCTTTACGATTTCAGCCAACAGCCATTGCCACCTGTCGCTGGCGTCGGGACCTATCGCCTCCCACCTTGTTGTGTCTGCGCCCGCCCCCGGCAGGCCGTGAACACGGCCTGGACTACGACGGCCATGATGCTCCGCGGGCTGAGTGCCTTTGACGAGAGGCAGTGTAGGCGTAGGGCTTTATGGGATTCGTAGTATAGGACACCCACACCTGTGTGAGCCCTGAAAGAGCGACACCATCATCCTTTCTTTAATTACAGAGATCCGGACACTAGTTTTTTCTCTCCAAAAATTACCCACGTAAAAATAAACTTCCAGGTAGGTTCAATGGAAACAGCGAATTTTTACTGAGTAGCAGGGTCTTGGCTATCACCCAGTGCGCATGCGTCTAACCAGGGTTTCAAACAGAACTGCGCCTGCGCGAACCCACCCCTTCGCTGTCAGGAAGCCGGAGAACGAGCGCGCGCCAGCCCTACCCGGGCACCTTCTTTCCCGTTCCCGCGGTCGAAGACCGCCACATAGCTTCGCAAGAAGACATCGCCGAGGATCCAGAAGGGCCCTTCAGGCGGAGGCACGTCCAGAGCGCCGAAGCCAGACAAGCAGACACGGACGCCACCCAGAGTAATCTGCCAGGTGACAAGCCGGGCCACTGGGTGTCACGCCCACCGAACTCGCTTCTTCCCTGGAGCCAAAGCTTCGCTTTGCCCACTACCCCGGGCACCATAATTGTTTCTGTGGCCTCTGTTTTGTCCATGTGAGTCCGAGTTCTCACTCACATCTCCACCCTCTCATGCCCCCACTTACCGCGTCACTCTGAGGTCTTAGTGAAAACTACCTACCTGGAGGACGTAGTCCTGGGCCGTGAGGTTAAACCAGACCCCCCCAAGGTTAAAGGAGATTGGAGGGAGCGTTGAGATTTTCGAGCACTGGATCAAGTGCTGAGGAAGAAAGAGGAACGAGCAGAGATGAGGGATTCCCGCTCTGCTCAAATGCTTTCCGCGGCTCCCGTGCCACACCTTGCTGGGCAGCTCGCGGTTCACAGCCTCGTGTGTCGGGCCCTGCTGCCTTCTCTAGCCTTCACATCAGGCGTTTCACCCTGTGTAATTGTCAGCACTTCCCTTTGGCTCCCATTGAATCAAACTTTTTTCTCTAATTGTCAATAAAAAATTGGTGGCTCGTTTGGAGGCCCCCAGACGTATTGAATTTGTCTTACATGGTGTCAAAAATGTTTTTAAAATCCGTTACCAACTGTATGCCATGGCGGTATACTTTGTATCCTGTGGGTCTGCTGCTGTGCAACCTTATACAAGTTACTTAACCTCTCTCTGCCTCAGTTTCCTATCTATAAAGGTAGATGATAATACCTCATAGGGATGTTGTGTGAGAACGAAATGAACTAGCTTGGGAAAAGAGCTGACACATAGTAAGTGCTATTATTATTTACAAACCAGGGGCTTTCAAATAACGTTTTCAGGTTTCTCCAACAAACCAGATCTGGCTTTCCTCACATACTTGGCTGGAGCTGGAGAGCTGAGAGCTACCTTTTTAGATTGATGGGGTGTGTACTCTCTGGTCCACCTCAATTCCCACCACTCCCAAGGTCCTAGCAATACAGTATTAGGCTATTATTAATGACCCAAGAAGTCTCTTCCTGAACAACCAGTAGTCATGACTTTGTTGGGAAGGCCAGGAGTGGGGAGAACAAGGTTGCATTAGAGATTGTAGAACACTCTGGACAGGGAAGATGATAACAGCAGCAACAGAGAGGCATCAGAGCATTGTCGTGAGCACCTTAAATGGATTAAGGGATGCAACCCTTGCAACACACCTAAGAGGTGAGTATTGGAACCCTGTATCAGGGGTTAGGAAACAGGCCCAGGAACGATAAAGGACTTGTCCAGGATAGCCAGCCAGGAAATGGCCGAGCTGGATCCCAACCGGGGTGACCCACGGCCATGACCACTCTGATCTCCCTAGTTCCTTTGGCTCGTGAAAGGCCTACATACGTCTTGGGCATTTCACTTAGAACCTCAGGAACTGAGTTTACTCCACTGTCTTAGAGGCACCAAAGAGCACAGTGATGGAGTCACAGATGTTCAGACCTGGAAGGACCCTGCGTCGTCATCTCATGTCCACTGAGTCACTCAGTGTAGACACTTGGGAGGTATCCTTGCTTCCTCCCACTTCCCCAGCCACTCACAAGGTCCAGTGCCTTCTGCCCTGGAATACCTCCTGGCCACCTGATTCCCACCCTTTGGCCCCAGCACCCTTCCCAGGTTCTGCCATTAAACCCCATCACCCTCCCCTGCCTCCCACCACGAGACGCTGAGTCCTCACCTCCCCCCTCAATAGGGGAAATCCCCCGATGGCTTTATGCAGAGCCCGGATCTCCTCCCAGGGTCCCGTGATGAGAGATGTGCCTGTGTCCAGAATGGCAGCACAGCCCTGGGCACAAAGAGTCAGCCCTGTGCCCACCTTCACACTGTGGTTTCGAAGGGAGCCATCATTAGAGCCAGTGTCCTAGGGGTGCCAGTCCCCCCGCCTCTCCTCCCTCAAACTCAGGGGTCCAGGCCCCCAGCCCCTCCTCCCTCAGACCCAGAGGTCCAGGCCTCCAGTGCCCTTTCTGCCGGGACACTGGTGATAATTTTCCAACCCACTGCTGTGGACCTAGGAGGCCAGGTCCCTCACCGCTCCATGTGGACCTGCCAATAGGCAGGGACTGTGACTGGCACGTAGGTGAGGGGTGGGATGTAGTGGGCTGGGTCCGAGCCCCCCAGAACCAGCTCTCCTCCGTCAACCACTGCAGGGTCCCTGCAGAGACAGAGTGCTGTCAGTGTGTCACCAGAGTTGGCCCTGCCAGCCCCAGGAGTAGACAAGGGTCGGTTACTGGGTTCCAGATGGGGTAGTGAGATGGAGGCAGGGCCTACATGTTGGGACTGGAAGTGAGGCAAGAAGTGCAAAGAAATGCAGCTTTTCTTGGTGGAGATCAGGGTCTTACGGTCCTGGAGGCTTCCTTGAGTGGGTGTGGGACTTCCTCCTTTGGCTGTGGAAGATAGGACTTTGTGGGGTAGATTTTACAAGAGCTCAGTTGAGCCAAAATGGGTGAATAGACCTAAGAGCAAGACCTCAAATGTTCCTTTTGAGGGGAAATCGAAGTGAGCATTGGGGTTTCTGACTCCTGAAGGTGTGGTTGCACGGGAGTGGGGTGGCTTCCTAGTGGGTGGGGGAACTTCGAATCGCATGTGTTAGAATTCAGAGGCCATAGACTTTCTGGCTCGGCTGAGAATGGTAGGAGCAGAGAGTGGGACTTCCCGCAGATGCCGGGGAGCAGGACCTACTAAGAGGTGGGCGGGACTTCCTGAGTAGGCTGGGGGTCAAAAGGGCACAGGATTTTCTACCTGTGGGGGGATGGGCCTTCAGGAGGGAGGGTGGAGACTTTCTGAGCTAAAGCTGAGCTTCCTAAAAGGCAGGTGGATCTTGGATTAACATGGGCAATTCCTGACTTCTGCTGTGTTTTCTCAGATGGAATTCAGGCTTTATGGTGAAGAGGGATTCTTAACGACTCTTTGATTGAGTAGAGCGTGGAATTCCCTGATTTCAGTTGGAAACACAGAATTTTTAAACTGATGGTGAGCTTCTTGGGCATATCTGAAGGTGTTGCTTAGTGAGTGGGACTTAGAAACAGGGTTCAGGTGTTTCTTGTATTGAGTGGATGAACTTCCTGTGCTGGGGATGATTTCCCAAATACAGAGGAGCTCAGTGACTTCCGGAATGGAAGGTGGAACTTCCTGAAGGCCGGCAGAGCTTCCTCCTTGGGGTTGGGCTCACAGGAAGGTAGACCCTCCCCCATTACCTGTTGAGGTAGAAGGAGAAGACCGGCTTATCCAGTGCGCCTTGGTCTACCATGGAATCCAGTGGGGGCTGAACTCCATCCACAGCCAGAACGGGGAAGCCGAGGCCCAGTATCCCATCGGAGAGGGCAAAGGCGAAGACCAGGCTGGGCTCCCACAAAGCCTCCCCGAACATCACGGATGCACCCATGGTTCCCCCAATCTAGGAAAGATTCAGACGGAGTCCGTTACTTCTGGAGGGACATTTCCTACATATCCCTGAGAGGTCCCCAGCCAAGGACATCTGAAAACAACTCCAGCTGCGTAAAAAGTGTCACCTCTCCATTCAGGGACGCCAGCCCCTTTACCCCGGAAACCTGCCTCCATACTTGGGAAGCCCTGCCCACTGGCCCAGGATGCTTACCCTCCTCAAGCCCCTTCCTAATAAGCCAGATCATTTTAGACATTGGGGTTCTCCCAGGGGTTAGCCTTCCCAGGGTCAGAGGTCACCCACAGTCAGCTTGTCCTCACTCAGGATGCCGCTGAGCCGCCCAGTTCCATACTGAATGGCGAATTTAGTTCCATTGGGCTTGAAGGAGCTGGAGGCATTGGAGTTGAAGCGGTTGTGGAACCCTAGGTCAGAAGGTCAGGGGGCTGTCACTGGGGGAGCAGACTGTCCCTCGGGCACCTCAGGATCCCTTGGGGAGCTGAGGCCTAGCCACCCCCCTTCTCCCTTCAACCCCACGCAGCCTCACTGTCCCCCACGAGAGCTCACAGCAGGGCAGACTGAAGAAGTGGCATCTCTTGGACGGGACCCAGAGATTGGAGGAGCCAGTGTCAAAGACCACAGAGAAGTTTTGTGGGGGCGTCCCCAGCCCAATTGTCCCATAATACTGGGCCTGCGACCAAAAAAAAAAAAAACGAGAGATGGTGCAGAAGAACTTAACCGGAGAGCAGGAGGGCGGGGGCTGCGGGGGCTGTGACTCACGTTCAGGAAATTGGAGAGAGACACAAAGGTAGAATTGCCCCCAGGGGATGGGCCGCCCAACTGGAGGGGCTCTTGTGCGTTTCCCCATCCCCTCAGTGGGTTCAGGGGCCCACTTCCCGTGTAGACTCGGCGAAGAGGGATCCTGTGTAGAGGAGAATCTGAAGTTATCTTCTTCTAGAAGGTATTTCAACTCCTTAACAGTTAAGGAGCAGTTACATTTAAACAGTCTTAAAATTACATTTGGCCCTTGGAAGGCAACCTCAAGGCTGATGTGGCCCCCGTGACAATGCGTTTGATACCCCTGTAATACACCCTCTACCACAGTCTTTCCCAAATAGAGCGTAACAACCAAGCAAACATCCTCGTGGCCCTACATACAGCACCAGTCATTCCCAGAAACCTGAAATAACGACCTTCCAGGTAACCCCCTCAAACACCTATCAGGCCACTGTGACAGAGTTCCCCCAGACTACACAAGAGCAAACCCACCGAGACAGACCTTCCCAAAACCGTTCCGGAAGAGACCATCCAAATATCCCAGGGAATGGGCGCTCACAGACTTTTCCGAAGACCCTAACATAAAACTAGCCTTTGCAAAAAGCTGTAGTTCATGAAGTTGGAGACTATTTTCCTCATCATTGGGGGAAGAAATGTAATCACCAAAACCCAATTTCACTCTTTACACTAAAATACAGTCCGGATATATCAAAGACTTAGTGTGAAATGTAAAACTGTCGGAGCGCTGGCAGGAAGTAAAATGTTTCTGTAGCTCTGGGAAGAGGACAGCTTTCCTAAGCGTGATACTAAGGTCGGGAATGTTGGGAATATTGCTGACTGTGACTCTGAGATTGTAAACCTCTGGGCTCCCTCCCCTCAACACAGAACACTGTAAATAACAGACAAAAAAATCTAGGGGAAATAATTACAAGCTGTATGTCAAAGAGTTCATATCTTATACACAAAGAGGTACTACAAATAAATAAGACAATCCAGTGTTGGGAGACAGTTTCTCCCGTTTCCACAGAGGCAGTGACTGCTTTTGTCCAGACTGGCATGTCTAGATTTATTCAGTTATTTATTTATATACAGAGAGGAAGGGAGGGAGAAAGGGGGAGAGAAACAACAATGTGTGGTTGCCTCTCATGTGCCCCCTACTGGGGACCTGACCCGCAACTCAAGCATGTGCCCTGACTGGGAATCAAACCCATGACCTTTAGTAGGTCCAGGCTCAATCCACTGAGCCACAGCAGCCAGGGCAAATTTGCATTGCTAAGGAGTTCCCGGGTCCTACATTGCATTGCTGTTAGTCCTGGGACAACGCTGGTCGCAGACTTGGGAAATAATGGCCGCCGTATTTTAGGTAACACAGGCAGGTCAGCAGACCTCACGTGCAGTGGTATTTTTTACCTGTCTGTCGTCACTCCTTGGTGCCCTGACTCCCACTCACGGCGTTGCCCTCTCCCCTCACCACTCGGTTTTTGAGAGGCTCAGGAATGTGAAGTGGGGACAAAGTTTCCTGGAAGGCTGTGCCCACCCCCCCCAATCTAGAGTTTCGGCCCAGCGGGAGAGGAGAGGAAGGGAGAGATTGGGGGAGGCACTGACCAGATGAGGGGAGGGTCGTTGGGGCCGTTCCCTACACTGGACTTAACTGAGACCTAAACAGTGTGGAGGCTGCAGATCTGGGAGTCTCAGTTTATTTGTCACAGACCCGGGTCTCCGAGATCTGTTGGTGCAGGGAGGTGTGTCACATTCTGGAGACCCCAGTACCAGCTCCTCAGGGCTCAGGCAGGGACCTGCAGGGTCCTCCCAATCATAAATGGAGAGGAGGGGGACTGGTCTGCAAACCAAGGGTGTCTGGGCTGAAGGATCTTGTACTAAAAGGACAGGGGTCTTAGGACAGAGCAGGGGGGAGCCCTCAGGGCTGAGAACCCAGTTTGGGGTCCCTGAAGCCAAGAGATAGCAGCCATGGGCCCTGGGGCGCCAGGGCGAATGGTCCATGAGCTGGGAGCCCCAGACTTGAAGGACAAGAAGGGGAGAGTGGGTCCCAGGTTAGGGGGGTGGGGGAGTCCCCAGTACCGGATCAGCGTGGCCCCGGCGGGCTGCGAGGTCGGCAGCAGCAGCAGCAGCAGCAACGATGGCAGAGACATCTCTGGGCACCCGGGTGTGGTCCCAGGCCTCTGGCAGCTCCGTTTTCTATCCCCCACTCCCACCCCCGCCCCAAGACTCCGCCCTGTTCACCACCTACCTCGGAGTTTCAAAGATGACCAAGACCTGAATTCTCTGGGTGGGTGACAGAGTGGGGGGAAGCGGGTGGTATTTTTGAGAGGAGACACAGAGTACTTTTGGAGGGTTGCAGAAATATCACCCCGTGTCACTGTCGCGCTTCACTCTCAACCTCAGTGGTGGTGATGGCGGGGGGGCCTCCTGCGCCCCAAGCCCCATCTTCTAGCTGGTATTGCTTTTACGTGTAACTTCCACTTCCTTTTTCTTAGACTCATTAACCACAAGGGTTTCTTGAGCAAGCGAAGGGATGGATGGTCGGCGTGTCGGTGCAAGGGCTGGGGGAAGGGAGAGAGGGCCCGACTAGACGCCCTCCTTCCCGTGTTAAGCCGCACTTGGAACGTGTCAGGCCCCCGACTCTGTGTTTTATTGGGAAAATACTGAAACACAAATACAAATCGCCCATAGGCCCCGGCCCCTCCACTGTCGAAAAGTAACAGCTATGGCCTGGTAGTCCAGTTGGTTACAGAGCATCCTCTCCATGTGCCGAGGTTGCAAGTTCGATGCCTTGTTGGGACACATACAAAAAGCAATGGATGAATGCATAAGTAAGTAGAACAGCAAATCAGTATCTCTCTTTCCCTCTGTCCCTCTCCTTTCTGTAAAATCAGTAAATAAAAATGAAAAATTAAGTATAAAAACCATTCATGGTGACTCTCTGTTTCTAGGCCTGCCCCTCTTTTTTTCCCTGAGGAAACTCCTCAAAAATTAACGAGTATCAGAAAACCTGGTTAAAATGCAGATTATTGGACATTACCTCAGAGACTCTGATTCCAAAGGCCTGAGATCCAGCCCAAGAATCTGCATTTTCCAACAGGCCCACTGATCAAGAGGCCAAAAGCATTTGTGAGAAAATCTATTCAATCTTTTTTTGGTTTTCCAACTTAGATTTACATGTCAGTATCAGCAGGCACTTTTATTTAAGTAAAGACAAGACATTGGCCCAGGTCAGTATAATTCAGTGGACTGAGCACCGGCTTGTGAACCAAAAGGTCGCTGGTTTGATTCCCAGTCAGGGCACATGCCTGGGTTGCAGAGCAGGTCCCCAGTAGGGGGCGCACCAGAGGCAACCACACATTGATCTTTTTCTCCCTCCCTTTCCTTCTCTCTAAAGATAAATAAATAAATAAAATCTTTTTAAAGATTTCATCAAGCTATACATTTAAGATTTCACATTTTACTTTAGGTAAGTTTTACCATAGGAAAAAAAAGTGTTTTAAATAAATATAGAGATGACTGCCAGAAGAACAATCAAGTGCTTACATTATTACAACTCTAAGTGCTATTCCCATTTACATGAATTGGAAAAGCCTAGAGAACAGCAGACTTGGGAGGATGTACTAGTCAGCTAGTGCTTCATAACGAATCACCCCAAATCTGAGGACTGTAAGACAGAAATAATCATTTATTATCTTCTGTGAGCTCTCTGAGTTAGAAATTTGAAAGCGGCTTGGGGGTTGCAGACAGATGTCCTGAGATTGTCATCACCCGAAGGTGTCGCTAAGCCTGCAGCTTTCGATATGACTGGGGCCCAACTCTTGAATGTGGGTTTTTGTTCAAGATGATGTAGCAAGAAAGTCCCTTAGGTGCACCAGCAAAAAAATAGATATTCAAGGATGGAGATCCAAGGCAGGGGTGGGGGAGTCCCAGGCAGAGGGTTGGGCCTAAGATCCCCCAGTTTCGGGAAGCTTCCTCAGCAGCACCATGAGGAGGGCTGGGCATTCAGGAGAATCCTCAAGGAGCAGAGGCCCAAGGGCTGTACAAACAATGGTGCAAGAGAGTGAGGAAATACTGGAGGTGGAAAGTTTTGAGTGGGGAGAGGAGAAGGGAGTCAGGGCCTGAGTGGAGGCGTGGCCTCTCACGGCTCCGCTGAGCATAGCCGTGGGAGGGGCGGCCAGCCGTGTGGGCCCCTCTGCACAGGGCCCGAGAGTATCCCTGGGGTAAGCACAGACAAGTGTCCTTCTGACGGCTTCTATTTTTTTCAGCAAAAGAAGAAGTGAGAGCAAAAAGGGGAAGGGGTGCTAGAGGTTTAGACAGAGAAAGTGGAAAAAAAGATTATTTTTTAAAAGTGTATTATTTTTATTTTTTCAGTGTTTTCTTTTTTTTAAGATCTTATTTATTTATTTTTAGAGAGGGAAGGTAGAGAGAAAGAGAGAGAGAGAGAGAGAAACATCAATGTGCGGCTACTGGGGGCCGTGGCCTGCAACCCAGGCATGTGCCCTGACTAGGAATCGAACCCGCAATGCCTGGCTCGCAGCCCGCGCTCAATCCACTGAGCTACACTAGCCAGGGCAGTGTTTTCTTTTTTGAAGTTTAATCTTCATTGTATTTTTTCATTGCTATTTAGTCCCCTTAGACCTCCCACCCCCAGCAATCACCACACTATTGTCCGTGTCCATGAGTCCTTTTTCCTTTTTGCTCGGCCCCTCCACCCCCCTCTGAGATCCCCCCACTAGCTGTCATCCTGCTTTCCATCTATGAGTCTGTCTCTGTTTTGCTTGCTAGTTGAGTTTGTTCATCAGATTTCACATATAAAAAAAAGATTCTTAAGAGTCCTAATTAGTATGGCTCAGTTGTTTGGGTGTTGTCCCACAAATCGAGAGATCCCAGTTCCGTTCCCAGGTCAGGGCACACGCCTGGGCTGTGGTTCGGTCTCAGGAGCATTGGAGAGGCAGTCGATTGATGTACTTCTTGCACATCGATGTTTTTCTTCCTCTCTCTCTCCCTTCCCCTCTCTCTAAACATAAATAAATAAATAAAATTATTTTAGAAAATGATTTCAGAGAGACTGGAGAAGAAAACTGTGGATTGGTTCCGAATGTCCAGTTGGGTTTCGCAGTCCCGCATCTGAAGCGTGTCCCCTCACAAGCCCAGCTGGGTGAGAGCGGGCACCGAGAAGGTGGAGCGCTCATTTTCACCAGGGTTGGGCTTTTTCCCAGCAAGTAAGTTCAAGGGAGAAAGAGCGAGGGAGTTAATGCCATGTGCGCAAGGACAGGATTATCCTACAATCCAAGCTTCTGAAGAAGGAAGAGAGGGCATGAGAAGAGGTGAAAGAAACAGAAAAAAAAAATGTGCAAGATCAAAGGATTATCAAAGGACAAGTGGAACCAAGGGCACTGTAGAACTGAAAGGCCTGACCTGGCTGGGTAGTTCAGTAGGTTAGAGCGCCATCCCCTTGGCCAAGTTTGTGGGTTCCACCCCCAGTCAGGGCACATCCAAGAACCAACCAATGAATATGTAAATAAGTGGGATGACAAGTGTCTTTCTCTCTCCTTCCCTCTCTCCCCCTCCCCCCCTCAATCCCTTCTTCTCGCTCTCTAAAATCAGTAAGTACATAAAATCTGAATTAAGACGAAAGAACTGAAAGGCCTTTCATGATTTGGCCCCACTCCCTCTCCCATGTCACCTCTTCCCTCTCGGCCTCGTTCACTTCAACCTGGCCCTGCCGGTGTCCCCGCTGCTCCTCAGACACGCCAGACACACTCCTGCCTCAGTCCTCCACACAGGTGCTCTGCCTAAGTGCCCCCCACCCCAAATAATTCCAGTCTCCTTTACCCTGATGTACTTTTTAAAAGATTTTATTTATGTATTTATTTTTTAAGAGAGAGGAAAAGGAAGGGAGAAAGAGAGGGAGAGAAACCTTCATCCGTTGCTCCTCCCATGCCCCCCACCTGGGGACCTGGCTCACAACCCAGGCCTGTGCCCTGACTGGAATTGAACTGGCGACCTTTTGGTTTTGGAAACGATGCCCAAAGCACTGAGCCACACTAGCCAGGGTTACCCTGGTCTGTTTTTGTTTTTGTTGTTTTTAAATCTATTTTTTTTTTCATAGACTCAAGGCTTCCTAACATTTCCTTGACTCTACATTGGCATCAGTTGTAAGCCATGTGCGAGTTAGAATCAGTGAGAGTGTCTGTACTGGCAATTTACTGCCTACCTTTAGTGCCAGTTTCCCGCTAGAATCTAACTGCCACAAAGGCAGAGTTCTCGTGCAGTTTCATTTGCCCCTGTCCCCAGCCCCTCAGACGGCACCTGGCATCTAGTAAATGCTTGACACTTTCAACAGCCCACTTTGAGCACCGATGGGGGATTTCCCCGACACAGCAGACACACAGTTTCCCTAGCATAACTTTCACCACGTCTTCCCCTGCTCTGTCTCAATATTTGTAATATTCTGGCTTTTTAAAAATTCATTGATTTGAAAGAGAAACATTGATATATGTTTATTTATGTGTTCTACATATTTATTTATTTAAAAACATCTACATTAAAATGTATTTTTTTTAGAGAGAGAGAGGGGAAGGGAGGGAGAAAGGGAGAGAAACATCAATGTGTGGTTGCCTCTCGCGCGCCCCCTACTGGGGACCTGGCCCACCTCCCAGGCATGTGTCCTGACTGGGAATCTAACTGGCACCCCTTTGGGTCACAGCCAGCACTCAATCCACTGAACTACACCAGCCAGGTGTGTTCCACATATTTATGTATGCATTGGCTGCTTCTTGTATGTGTTCTGACCCGAGATCAAACCCGCAGTTTTGGCGTATCACGCCGATGGTCTAATCAACTGAACTATCTGGCCAGGGCCAAATACCCCCATCTAGACCTTTCAGGATCCACCCACCCGGATTCTGCATCCTCCAGTCCCAGCCTGCAAATTCCTAAATGGCCACATGAGGGTGCTGTGGGCCTATTTTCCAGCTAAGATTCGCTCTTCCAGCGCCGCCCCATCCCTTATCTTTTTCCTTTTTTCTTTTGAGTCCTAGTTTCTGACTTATTCAAACTTTATGAACCATATTCCTAACAGCTAGAAATGTGAAAACTTGTGTTGTTCCCTATGAGTACAGGGAAAATATTTTCTGATAGCTTATTTTACATGGTAATAATCTTGATAATACAGTTACAT